GTACCTACTTGATGGAACTTAATAACAACAAAACATTCTGAAGTAGTTTACTTCTCCTTCTTTCTGCTAGTCTTAGTCTGGAAGCTCTGATGAATCCTCTCCATCACTAGTGATCCTGCTAGTATTTAAAATACCATTGGCATAGCTTCCAGCATTGCAGCCACATAAAACCATCACTGTATGACAAATTGACAGATAAGTGGTGGATTAACCTCTCTATGTCCTTTCAAATGGTCTTTCTCCCAAATACTCTTGGATATCCATTGGATGCATCACTTGTTGATTTGCTCCTCACCAACCTTTCTGTAGTTTCCTTTGTCTGTTTCAAGAAAAATGATGGGTTTTGTGTTCATTCTTTTAGGAGAGTATATGGTGTTTTGGTGTGGCGCTGTAGGATAAGCACTGTGCTGTTTACTGAAAATTATGTGGTTCAAATCCACAGGCCACGCCTTGAAAAGCCCAAATAGGGTTTCTCTGAGTTGTTGTTGTTGGTTGTTGTGTGCCATTGAGTCAGTTCCTACTCACAGTGATCCTATATGGTGTTTCCACAGCTGCAAATCTTTACAAGAGCAGGGAGCCTCATCTTTCTCCCATGGTGTGACTGGTAGATTTGAACTACTGATCTTGGGGTTAACAGCCCAACTTGTAATCCACTTTGTTACCAAAGCTCCTTTATCCATGAACAAGATGGATACAAATTCCTACCTTGTGGGAGCTCTATTTTAACAGGGGAGTTGACCAAGGTATTATATATGTACGTGCTCCAGAAAAAATGCATAGAATAAGGACAGGAAGTGTTGGAGTTGTATTTATACATGAAGTAATCAGGAAAGTCCTCCCTGAGAGGAGATAAATAGAGATGATCATAGATTTTGATGAATGCTGTTTTTCTTTCGGTCTCTGTCTTCAAGTTAGTTCTAACTCATTGCAACTGACTACATGCACAGTGAATCACTGTCCTAGTCCTGTGCCATCCTCACAATTGTTGCCATGCTTCAGCCACTGTTTCTGCTACTGTGTTGTTGGTGTTTTTCCAATTTTTCACTGACTTTCTACTTTGCCAAATAGAGTGACCTTTTTCAGGGTCTTGTCCTTCCTGATAGCATGTCCCAAATATGAGAGATGAAGTCTCTTCTTCCTCATTTCCAGGGGGCATTCTGGCTGCACTTCCTAGACAGATTTGTGTGTCTGGAAGTCCATGGTACTTTCAATATTCTTCACTTTCAGCAAGTAAGGTTGTATCATCTGTTTATCACAGTTGTTAATAAGCTATCCTCCAATTATGATGCTGCATTCTTTTTCATACAGTCCAGCTTTTAGGATATTTGCTCAGCATAAAGATTAAATATATATATTGAAAGGATACAACCCTGAAACATACCTTTCCTGAGTTTCAACCATTCAATACTTCCTTGTTCTATTTGAATTTTTGCCTGTTGGTCTGTGTGCAGGTTCCTCTCGATCAAAATAAGTGTCCTAAAATTCCCATTATTTTCAGTGTTATCCATAATTTGTTGTGATTTACACAGTTGAATTCCTTTGAATAGTCAATAAAGCACAAGTAAATATCTTTATTATTTCATGTCCTCTTTTGAATTTGACTTGGATTTCTGGCAAATTCATGTTGATTCACAGCTGCAACTGTTTTTAAATGATCTTTAGCATGTGTTATTAATGATATTGTTGGATGATTTCTACATTCCATTGAGTCCTGTTTGTTTGGAATGGGCACAAGTCTTGGCATAGAAAAGTGAGCACCTTCATTTCTGCATCAGTTTGTTGAAACATTTCCATTTGTATTTCCTCAATTCCTAGAATCTTGTTTTTTTTGCCATCTTTCAATGCAGTTTGGACTTCTTCCTTGAATATTATTGGCTCTTAATCAAATGCTAACTCTTTAGATGATTGAATATAGACTAATATTTTTGGTACAGAGACTGTATATTTCTTCCATCTTCTTTTAATGTTTCCAACCTCATTAAATATTTTCACCACAGAATCTTTCAATATTGTAACCCTAGGATTGATTTTTTTTTCTTCAGATCTTTCAGTTTTAGAAATACTGAGTGTGTTTTGGTGTTCTAACTTCTGGTATTTGCAGATTTAATTATAATATTTGACTAGATTATCTTGAGCTGTCCTTTGTAATTCTCTATTCAGCTATTTTACGTCCTCATTTCATCCAGTTGCTTTAGCTTCTCTAAGTTCAAGAGAAAGTTTCAGAGTCTCTTATGACATTCACTTTGGCCTTTAATTTCTTTCCTGTGTTTTTGTGACTTTTTATTTTATTCATGTATGATGTTCTTAATGCCATTCCATAACTCTCTCGTATTTGGTCATTTGTGTCTAATACATCAAATCTGTTCTTGAGATGGTCTCTTAATACAGTTGGAATATACTCAAGGTCATATTTTGGCTCTTGTTGGCTTATGTTAATTTCCTTAGCCTCAACCTGAAATTGCATGAGCAATTGATGGTCTGTCTGTTCCACAGTCAACCTTGGCCTTCTTTCAGCTGACGATACTCGGTTTCTCCATCATCTCTTCCCACACATGTAGTATGTGTTGATTCCTGTGTTTTCCAGCTGACAAAGTTCTGGTGTATTGTCATCTATGTTTTTGAAAAAAAGTTGATTTCAATGAACAAATCACTGGTCTTACAAAATTTTATCATGGTATCTCCATCATGTTTTCTATTACCAAGATTATATTTTCCAAGTACTCATCATTCCTCTTTCACATTCCAGTCACCAGTAATTATCAATGAATCCTGATTGAAAGTTAGATCAATTCCAGACAGAATAATTGTCGCTGTTGTTAGGTGCTGTCGAGTTTCTTCTGAGTCATAGTCATTCAATGCTCATAAAGAAAACACTGCCCCGTTCTGTACTATCCTTTCAATTGTTGTTGTGTTTGAACCTATTGTTGCTGCTACTATATTTATCCATCTCGTTGGGTGTCTTTCTCTTTTCACAAACCCTGTACTTTACCCAGCATGATGTCATTCTCCATGGACTGGTCCCTACTGACACTTCCAAAGTTTGAAAGATGAAGCGCTTTCATCACTTCTCAGAATCAGTCTGGTTGTACTTCTTCCAAGATAGATTTGTTTGTTCTTCTGGAAGTCTCTGGTACTTTCAATATTTTCCAACACCATAATTCAGATACACAGATTCTTCTATGGTCTTCCTTATTGTGGTACAGTAAATTATTTAGTGTCTCTTTTAGCTATGTTGTTGCTGTTGTTGTCCATTGTAAACTCCCACCAAAAATACATTTTTCACTCTGAGAATCTGGGTAAAAGAAGGTGGGAAAAGCTATTCACAGGATGACATGATTCAAGTATGAATGTTAACAGAATTAATTGGTATTGTAAAAACTTAAATCTCTAGCATGAGTACAAAATGAATTATCTCACAAGTAGGAGGGGTGATTTCACTACCATCAAAGAAGATACAGTATGCAAGCTTGTCCTTTGGACCCACAATCCCTGTGTACTGAACGATGCCATGGGAAGAGTAGCAGAGAAACAATAGCAGCAGAACCAAGAACTACAGCACGGGACAAAGCATTGGGCTTCCTAGTACACAGAGCAAGTAAAGCTTAGTGACTTTGGACAGGAAGCTTGTTAATATGGAGCCCACACTTTAAGGACTAAGGTGTGCCTGACCTAAGCCATCATATTTTCAATCATAGTGTATACATGTGAAAATTAGACAGTGAACATCAAAGACTGGATAAGAATTGTTGTTGTTGTTAAGTGTCGTTGAGTTGGTTCCAACTCATAGAGATCCTTTGTGGCATTTCCAAAGAGTGGCTGGTGAGTTTGAAATACTGACATTATGGTTAAATTGGACCTTGCAGTCCAGTGCTTTATCCCACAGGGCCACAAATGCATACAATTTGATGCATTTAAATTATGATATTGTTGAAGAAATTTGAGTATAACATGGACACCCAGAAGAACAAACAAATCTGTTTTGGAAGAAGTACAGAAAAGATGCTTCTTAAAAGCCAGGATGGCAAGACTTTGGCTCATGTACTTTGGACCATGTTAGGAGGAAGGACCAATCCCTGTAGAAGGACAACATGCTTGGTAAAGAAAAGGATCAGTGAAAAAGAATTCCATCAAGAAGATAGATTGACCCAGTAGCTATACCAATAAGCTCAAACATATGAATAATTGTGAGGATAGACCATGAACTATATTTTCAAAAAATATTATAGGCTATTCTGATGCCATTTATGTATGAGCTTTATTTAGAAACAGTGCACTATTAGCAGGGCTAGTGCTCATAGTTATTTTGCATAGTTGATTAGATAGAGTAATGATGAATTGTACCATATAAACACAAAGTTGCAGAATTTTTTGGAATATAAAATGTGGTTAATACAAAAATAACTCTGATACAATCTTTTAGGATTTACATTGCAAGATAAGGAGAATCTGTTTTTCTTTTTTCTTTTCTCCAGTGTATGGAAGGGGGCTGAAGGAAGGAGAGAGGTAGTGAACTCACAGCAGTGTCTACTAAAAGGGTTGGAATTATATTTCTCATTTGAGAAAGTCCTTCAATCCCCATTTCTGAAGAAGAAGATTCATTCTCTCATCTTTCATCTAGGGCTCTTTGCTAGATATAGTCCAGATGAATGTTGGGAAAGCAGCAGTGAATTCTCAGTACAATTCTGCATGCTGACTCTGCACAGCTGACTCTGATCTAAATCAAGACACTTGACTTGTCTGGGAAAAGAGCCATTGGCCAGTATCTTCAGCCACTGTGCCTCCTCCCTGTGCTTTTGCCCACTGGCCACTGTGGAGTCTGAGCTGGGAATGCGCTGTCATTAATTATTTAACAGAAATATGAGCAGAATACAAAGCTTCTGAAAGACCTTTCCTGAGGAGGTGTCAGGAAGCCAGTGATGATTTCTCAGCTTTCCTTGGCTCTTATACTTCTTAGAAAAGGGACTGTTCTTTTAATAAGCTGAAAAACAAGGCTGATAGTTTAGCCATCCAGTTAAAGATCAGAATGAAAATGGAAATAGAAAGTGCAAGTATGTCGTGTGAAGTTATCTCTTGTTTTTACTGAGTCAGGAAACAAACATGTGGTTGAGGCTTTTTGGAAATTCCCTAGTTGTTCCACACATTGATTCTGCAAAAATCCAGCCTAATCTCTTGTTCACAGTTGGTTTACATGTCTTTATCCCCACAATAATTGTAGAGCACCAAATGTAAATCTTAGCAGCGTAGCAGTAGGTATAGCATATGCCTAAAATTTGTCTCTTAGAGTATTTCAACAGGGAAGAGGATTTTCAAAGTTTTTACTTAATCATTTAATGTTTTCTCTTTCCAAAGTATAACTAAAAAATAAAAATGCTCATTAACCATACAAGTACTTGTGTTTGCAATAGTTCTTTTAAAAAGTTGCTGTAGAATTATGATTCAAGGGGACCCCATGTGGTAGAGCCCTAGTGGTTCTGTCATCCTGAAGGGTTACCATGTCTACTCTACCCTACAGAGTCATCATGAGTTCATATCAACTTCATGGAAGTGAGTTTATTTTGGTTTTTGTTCTTTAGAGCATCCTGTCAATTCTCAGACAGAGAAGTCTCATGTCAATGTTTGTTTTTGCTAAAAGGCATAAGGGTATGTGCTAGTTATTCCAGAGAAGCAAAAGCTTAATATAGTTTCTGTTCACAAATCTGATAATGAAAATCTTCAGCTGAGAAAAAAAAGAATTATGGCTCTTTAGGGACAAGATTCATAGGACATGAGGAATTCTAGAATAAGGAAGTGTAGTCACAGTAGGAAAACAGTAAAAATATCAGCAAAATTAAAAACATTGATATTACTGGGCATAGAAAACACAGGATAAAGAATAAGAATTCAAAATTACACATAATATAAGGCAATGTTTTTGTTATTAGTCGTTAGAATTGATTCACAAGCAGATTACTAGACCTCAGTAAGTATGAAATACCAATCTTTCAAATAGTAGTAGTTTGGTTCACCTAGGTACTCCAATGAGTTAAAAGAGCTTGAGTTGTTGTAATAATCACATGAACTTAGATAAGGGTTGCCATGAATTGGAGCCAGCTCTATTACACCAATAGAGGAAAAGTACAACCTCAATTCAGTGTATTTGAAACCTGGGGTTTAAGTGGAAATCTGAAATTATAGACTTTTAATTTGTAGGATGAATATTTAAAGAAAACAAAAACAAACAATATGATATGGGCATTAGGATGCTAGCATTACATATATGAGTGCTTACAAAAATGTCTCTCATACCACTCCTGAGAGAAGACCTGTTTAGTCCACACAAGTTGAGCCCACAGTTGTTGTTGTTAAGTGCCATTGAGTCGGTTCCAAGGCTGTAAATCTTTATGGGAGCAGAAAGCCTCATCTTTCTCCCATGGAGCTGCTGGTAGTTTCGAACTGTTGATCCTATGGTTTACAGCCCGATTCGTAACCATTATGCTACCAGAGCTCCTTTGAGCCCACAGTGCTGACC